AAGGCGAGGCAGGCATTTGGAGCAGTGATTAGGTAGCTGCCTGGGATGCCTGATGCCATATCTGACCACCTGGTTCAATCCTGGCTATTTGGCTTTGACCCAGCTTCCTGCTGGTGCACCCTGGAGGCAGCAGATGATGGCTCAAGTGCTTGGGTTCCTGCCATCCATGTGGAAGACTTGGATTGGGTCTGGGCTCTTGGCTTTGGCCTGGTCCAGCCTTGAGTGTTGCAGGCATTTGGGGAATGAACCAATGGATAGAATCATTCACTCTATGTCTCTGCCTTTCAAAAATGAAAAATGAAAATGAATAAACACAAATTTATTTTTTAGAAAACCTTAAAGCATACAGAAAACAAATAGAGAAGTGACAAAAATTAATCTTACTGGCAATTTCTTTAAATGTAATGAGATTAAACTTCAGCCAGATGCCAGAGAGTGGCAGAGTGGATTAAAAAACATCCAATTAAATGCGTATAAGAGATGCACTTTAGGGTCTAGCATTGTGGCACAGCGAGTTAAGCTGCCGCCTGTGAAGCTGAAAACCGATATTGGAGTGCTGATTCAATTCCCAGCTGCTCTGCTTCTGATCCAGCTTCCTGCTAATGTACCTGGACCCCTGCCAACCATGTGGGAGACCAGGATGGAGTTCCTGGCTCCTAGCTTTAGCCTGGCCCAGACCTGGCTGTTGGCAGCCATTTGGGGCGTGAAACAGCAGTTAGAAGATCTCTGTCACTCTGCCTTTCGTATAAATTAAAGTTAAAGGATGGAAAAATATATTCCAAGCAAATAGTAGTAAAAGAGAGTTGAGGTGACTATACCGATATTAGACAAAGCATGTTTTAAGTCAAAACTGTTGCAGGAGACAAGGACACCATATATATTGATAAAGGGTCAATTTATGAAGAAAATAGGGGGCAGTGCTGTGGCACAGCAAGTAAAGCTGCTGCCTGCAGTGCCAGCTTCCCATATGGGTGCTGGTTCAAGTCTCAGCTGCTCCACTTCCAATCCAGCTCTCTACCATGGCCTGGGAAAGCAGCAGAAGATGGCCCAAGTGCTTAGATCCTGCACTCACGTGGGAGACCTGGAAGAAGCTCCGGCCATTGCAGCCAACTCAGGGGTGAACCAGCGGATAGAAGACCTTTCTCTTCTGCCTCTCGCTCTCTCTCTGTAACACTGCCTTGCAAATAAATAAACATTTTAAAAAATTATCAAGAAAATATAATTGCATTAAATATTAGAGACCCTAGATATATGCAGCAAAGATTAACAGAATTAAAGGAAAACCCAGTTCTACACTAATGCAGACTTCAATACCCAGTTTTTAAGGACAGGTAGAAGAACCAGAGAGAAGAGAAGTAGGGATATAAAGGACATGAACAACCTATAAGCTGGTTCAACCTAACATACACATATACAACACCCATCCAACAGAATTATACATTTTTCTTAAGTGTATATGAAACAGTCCCTAGAATAAACCATTTGTTAGGCTACAAAACAAGTCTTAATCATTTAGAAAGACTGAAATCATACAAAATATCTTTCCTGATCATTAACAGAAGGAAAATTGGAAAATGCACAAATATGTAGAAATTAAATAATGGGTCAAGGAAATCAAGAGGAATTAGAAAATACCCTGATAAAGTGAAAATGACAACATGCTGAATTTTATGGGATGCAGCAAAAGCACTGAAAAATAACAGATCAGTAACCTAACTTCACACTTTCCTTAAGGAATGAGAAAAAAATAAAGCAAATTAAACCCAAAGCTTGCAAAGGGAAGAAAATAAAGACTATGGCAGAGATGAATGAAAAACAATACAGAAAAGTCAATGTTTGTTCTTTGGGCTGAGAAATCTTTTGCTAAATTTTCTAAGAAAGATAACTTGAATTACTAAACTCAAAGTTGGGATATTACCACCAATTTTGCAGAAATGACAAATGAGAATTTTAATAACACCCACAAACTGGACACCTCAATGAGGTGCACACATTTTCAGAAACAATGTACTAAATCCTGAAGAAATACAGAAATCTGAATCAAGCTTCACTGGTGGATCCTCCCTAATATGTAAAGGAATAAAAGCAATTCTCTCAAATCCTTCCGTAAAATTGAAGGAGGGAAACGCTGCCTAACTCACTCAACTAGGCCAGCACTTCCTCAACATAAAAACCAGGGAAAAATGACACCACGAGAACAGAACATTACAGACCAGCTTCCCATAGGAGCACGGACTCGAAATCCCAGCAAACTGAGTTCACTCTTCCATACCGTGACCAAATGGTATCTCTTTCTAGAATGCAAAGATGGTTTTACATGCATAATTCAGTACCATACACTATATTAACAGAATGAAGAAGGGACCACATGACCATCTCAAGTCATTCAGAAAAGGCATTTGACAAAATTCAACCTTCTTTCATTATAAAGAAGAAAAAACACCCAATACACAGGACCAGAAGGAAACTACCTCGAATGATAAAGAACATCTATGGAAAACCCAGAGCTAACCTCATGCTGAATGGTGAGGAACTGAAAACCGTGTCCTGAGATCGGGAACAAAATGAGGAAGTCGACTGTCGCCACTTGCATGCAGGGTAGTCCTGAAGTCCTAGACAGAGCCGTTAGGCAGGAAGACTACGAGGCAGTCATCCTGGAGAGCAGTTACCGCTGTTCCCTGATCACATGATCTCACAAGTAGGAACTCCTAGTGATGCCACCAAAACAAAACTTAGTGCTAACAAGCAAATTCTGTAAATCTGCAGGACACACAATCAACTGCATTTTTATACCTAAATAATATTAAGAACAGTTACATTTATAATGGCATCTGAAAGAATAAAATACTTAGGAATAAATGTAACCAAAGAGAACATTTGTATACCAAAAACTGCCAACACTGCTAAAAGAAAAAGAGACATAAATCAATGCAAAAATCGCCCACGCTCATGAATTAGAAGACAATACAGTTAAGATGCCAGTACTGTCCGGAGGGATCTGCAGGTGCAAGGCAGTCTCTCTGAGAGTCTCAGTGAAGTTCCATCAGACCTGGAAAGCCCAGCCTAAGGTTTATATGGAATCTCAGGAGACTGCAAACAGCTAGAACAATGTGGAGAGGGAAGAGCGAGCTTGGAAGTCTCACAGTAGCCAATTTTGAAACCTATTACAAAGCTAAGGTAATCAAAATAGTGTTGCATTGGCATAAAAACATACACAGAGAACACCAGAATAGGCAATTTAGAAATAAGCCCTCAGGGGCTGGTGCTGTGGCGCAGTAGGTCAATGTCCTGGCCTGAAGCACCGGCATCCCATATGGGTGCTGGTTCTAGTCCCAGCTGCTCCTCTTCCAATCCAGCTCTCTGCTGTGGCCTGGGAAAGCACTAGAAGATGGCCTAAGTCCTTGGGCCCTTGCACGCACATGGGAGACCCAGAGGAGGCTCCTGGCTCCAGATTCGGCACAGCTCTGGCCATTGTGGCCAACTGGAGTGAACCAGTGGATGGAAGGCCTCTCTCTCTCTCTGCCTCTCTCTGTCTCTGTGTAACTCTGGCTTTCAAATAAATAAATAAATCTTTAAAAAAAAAAGTCCTCAGACATTTGGTCAAATAACTTTAGACAGTGTGCTGAGACCACTCAATGGGTGAAAGGACTGCATTTTTAACAAATGGGGCTTGGAAAACTGAGTAGCCACATGTAAAACAGTGGGCCCTTGCCTACCACTACATACCAAAATGAAACACAGGAGGGTCAAAACCTGAACACTAAACCATAAAACTCTAAGGAGAAAACATGGAGGAAAAGCTTCATGACACTAAAAACAGGCAACAGAAGAAAGCAAGTTGGAATTCTTAAAAATTAAGTTTGTGTGCATCCTAAGGACACTACGAGGACAGTGAAAAGAGAACATCAGTAGGGGAATGTACGAAACCAGTGCAAGACCACATGATACAGATTAAGGTAGCTATCTTCAAAAAACCCAGACTACAGCAAGTGTTAGCGGTGATTTGCAGAAGTCAGAACCCTTTGTATTGCTGGGAGGAATTTGAAATGGTGCAGCTACCACAGGAAACAGTTCTGGAGTCCTTGAAAAATTAAACTTAGAATTACAGTATGATCCAGCATTGTCACTCTTGAGTGTGTACCCCCAGGAACTGTACACTTGTGTTCACAGCAGCATTATTCACAATGACCAAAAGGTGAAAACAACTCAAGCATCCACTGAGAGATGAGTGAATACACAGTCTAGCCACACTACTGCACACTGCTTAGTCTTCCAAAGTAATGAGAAGCTGATACGTGGGAAAGCATGGATTAACCTGAAAACATTATGCTAAGTGAAATGAGCCAGGCACGAAAGGGTAAATATTATGTGACTCCAAGCACAGGAGAGGCCTGGAAGAGGCAAACATGGAGGCAGGGGAGTGGAGGAGAGCTACGAGGAGAGACTAGTGAGGGGCAGACATTCTGTAAGTGGACAGCCGTGATCGTGCGACGTGGTAAACGTACTCACTGCCACTGAACGGACAGCCTTTAAATAAAGGCTTAAATGGTAAACTGAGTTGCCACAGTTAAAAAAGCAAAACATGTCACTACATAATAAGTGGAAATAAGATGGAAAATAAAATAAAAATATAAAATAAAATAAAAAAAATAAAGATTGCCGCAAGCCAAATCTCCGTGGCATCCGCATGGACACAGATGAGGCATTTTACACTGAACACGTGTACTGCTCTCTACATCTTACTTAGGAAGACAGACACTTTAAGGAAGTACAAAAGGCTTTGCAGCAATGTATTTGGAGCCTTTGCTACTGAAATGCTTTCTATTCCTTGAGAACCTGGTTGGTTTTGTCCAAGAGAGGTGATACACACTGACTACAGAATGCTCTGATTGCACAGGTGACCCCCACAACCCAACTCATCCAGCACAGCCCCGCCCTTTACAGAAATTCCCCCTGCAGATTTTTAAGTCCCCAACAGTACCCCATGAGCCCCGTGTTACCTCTGGTCGTGGGACAGAGCCATGGCCCGGATTCCGGCGTCGCAGCCTGGATAGGCAAAGAGCTTCTTGAGGTCAGACACTTGCCAGACCATCACCACGCCGTGGTCTCCCCCTGTGAGCAGGTACTGCCCGTCGCGGCTCAGCTGGACGGCCTGGAAGACACAGCGGCATTCAGTAGAGAAGTGGTTCTAGGGACACGTGGCACCGCTCTGTCTGCTTAATTCTGACACTCCGCCAGCTACTGCAGGGCAGAAAGGATGACCGGCACAAGAAATCTTCAGGGTTTTTAGGAAACCACATGTTGTAGGAGACATGGCGTTTTTCAAAAACCAAAGTGAGGCCGTGCTTGCGGATCTTTTGTTTTTTTATGGATGACGTGGCAAATTCTCCCGGTTCTACAGAAGTTTCTTGACTGCTGCATGCCGTGGCCTGAGGCCAGCACCTGGATGGAACCTCCTGGCATCTCCCGTGGATGTGCAGTCCCACTATGTACCAGAGCTCGGCGGCCAGGGCTAGCTGCCCACACGCCCGCACGGTGGTGACTGCCAGTGAGGCGGCCAGCCAGCAGCCTCAGCGCCCTCAGCAGGCCAGCTGGGTTCGGCGACTCTGGAGACAGCTGCGCCTTCCAGGGTGACTGACCCACAGGGGAAGTGTTTCACTCTAAGACTGACGGTGCTGCAAGGGTCAGGCAGTCCACGCGAGTCTAGGCCACGCACACCTACTGCCCCGTCCATCCCTGCCAGCGATGAGCAGATGGGGCTCTCTGTAAAGCCGGCATCCACAAGGAAAAGCCTGGGGACAAAATGCAGACCCTCACCTGTCTGCGTAAGACCATTTCCACGTTTTTTAATGGTTTCAGAAAGAATTTTTCATGACACACGAGTAAGCTATGACTTCCAACGTGCATGCCATCAAGGAGACTTTCTCAGAACATGGCCACAGCTGTTTGTTGCGGCTGCTTCCAAAGGCAGGTGCCAGGGCTGACACAGAGCTCCCAGAGCCTGCGCGCTTTACTGTCCCTTCACAGGAAGAGTGCTGCCCCCTGCTGTGAACCATCTCCTCTACACCGAAGGCCACTCAGCGACTCCTTCCTCTCCCAGAGCCGTCCCTGCAAGCCTTCTCTTCCCAGCTTACTGAGATACGCATTTCCTTTCTTTGGCTGACTGGCAGGCATCAGGAGTTCTATCAGTCGCTGCAAACACCTGCCATTTGGGGTATAGCTGGGCACAGCAAAGTGGGAATACAGATTGTGCCGGCAGGAAAGAAAACACTTAAATTCCTGAAAAATACACTATTCTGCACTGAGATTTAGCATGGTTGCCTTAAGTCTTCAGTTTACCCTTTGATAATTTTTTTTAATCATAGAAGAGGGTAGGGGCCAGCTTGTGGTGCAGCAGGTTAAATGCTGCCTGCAAAGCCAGCACCCCAGATGAGTGCCAATTTGAGTCTGGCTGCTCTGCACCTGATCCATTCCCTGTTAATGTGCCTAGGAAAGCAGCGGAAGATGGCCCAACTACTTGGACCCCTGCTCCCATGGGGGACACCGGATGAAATTCTTAGCTACTGGCTTCGCTTGGCCCAGCCCTGGCCCTTGCAGCCACCTGAGGAGTAAAACAGTGGGTGGAAGATAATGCCTGCTCGCTTGCTCTCTCTGCCTTTCAAATACATATTTTTGAGACTTTATTTATTTGAGAGGCAGAGGTCTTCCATCTGCTGGTTCACTCCCCAAATGGTGGCAATGGCCAGAGCCGATCTGAAGCCAGGAGCCTCCTCCAGGTCACTCATGTGGTAGCAGGCGCCCAAACTCTAGGGCCATCTTCCACTGTTTTCCCAGGCCATAAGCAGAGAGCTGGATCAGAAGAACAGCTAGAACTCGGACGGGCAACCATATGGGACGTTGGCACCACAGGCAGAGACCTAGCCTACTACGCCACAGTGTCAGCCACTAAATATTTTTTAAAAGGGCTGTTTCGTATTCATTCAATTCATATTTGTGTAAGTGCCAACTTTTAGTAGTGTCTTAAATATATCTTATTCTCCATGAAAAAAAAAATCCGAGAAATACAAACCTATGTGTTGAAGACAGTTACATATAAGATGTGATCCTCTAAGTCTTACTAACTAAATGCAAATGTTAGGATTTTTCAACATGAGTAAGAATCAATATCCTCTCCCCCCATTCAATTCACAAATGGCAACCTCTAGGGGTGTCTGGGACCTGCAATGAAGACCAGGGCAAATAACTGTTTGCTACACTTATAAAATTCAGCTGATGAAAATCCATTAACCTTAGCGTTGTGGTTCACTTGGATGTTAGACTTGAGGCTCTTTACAAGGATAAGTGCGATATTAAAACCATTCATCTTGAAGGCTTTCTGCTAATAGAGAATCTCTAATCCCACTTCTGTCTGGAATTAAGGAAAACCCTGGACTTTTAGGACTAGGCATTCGTGAGCATTCAAAACATTTTGTTGGCCTCTCCTTACCTAACCCTGGGGCCAGTTATCCCCCAAACCACCCTCAGGGGGTCCGAGTGCTTATCACCTTCTCTGCCTTCGCCTTTGGGGTGGCTGTGACTGCAGGTGTAAGAGGACCCAAGGGAGCAGCTCACCCCATTCTCTGAAACCCTCAGTGCTGGGGCCTGCAACGTGGCCACTCCGTTTTCAGAGAAGGGACTAGCAGGCCAAGGCTGGGGCCTACTCGGCCTAACACAGCAGGGGTGCTGGAGAAAACGCGGCTGGACGGCTGAAGCCTAAAATCCAGAGGAGAACGACAAGGGCTGCAGGGCGGAAGGGAACGGCGGCGCGGCGCGTGAGCGAGCCGCCTGCCCGGCTCGGCCCCCAGGCCTTTCCCGCAGCTGCTGGGGCTGCCAGCACGGTTGCCGCCCGCCCGGGATTGCAAATTATTTTAGATTTATTAGCGCAGCTGACAATGTAATCGCGGCTCGAAGTGACGGATTGTCAACATTATTGTTGTAAAGAAACGAGGAAAGGAGAACCCTCTGATGTGCACTTGGTTTAAATGAAGTATTATGGGAAGGCAGGGAGAATCAACACGGGGCATGAGCGCGGGCGAGTGCGTGCCCGCGCGGCAGCGGCACGGAGCGCGGGCAGCGCCGACCAGACGCCAGGGGGTGCACGCTGACAGGGCCCGCCCTTTGACCCTTGTGGCCAGGATCGGGGCGGTTTGCAAAGTTCGTGGAAACTGCGCCATCTTTTAATCTCAGTTTTGCACAAACTTTTTGAAGTTTCCTCTCACGCAGTGTTTTTGTTTGTTTGTTTTTTATTACTTCCTGACCCAGTCAGGAGGAGGAGGTGACCAGACTGGATTTGAGACACTGGGAGAACTGATGTCATAGCAGCATCTGGAACAGCCATGCCTAAAAGGTCCTGAGCTACCCTAGGGCCACACGCGGAGGGCAGAGGTCCCCTCGGCCCCTCTGGCTCCCCTGGCTCCCCTCACAGCATTCGGCTCACATGCGGCCCCACCCCATTCTGGAGAAGGACGGGAACAGCACAGCTGCATTGTTCACCCGGGCCTGCGCGTTTGGAGGTGAGGAGACAGGGCCTTTACAAAGTAGCTCCTCAGAGCTCGGCCTGCCTCTAGTATCTGCAGGGTCCTGTCCTACGACGCAGAAGGGCAGCAGAAGCTCCACAGGCGACCCACTGCAGTGGACCAACAGGCCACACACGTCTGCCGGATGCACGTCACACTCTGAAGCCCAGCTCCCCTGACGGGGCACGGTTTGGTCTTGCTACTCGCCAAGCAGTCAGATCTGCAACTAGATGCTAGTTCTAAGTAGTCAGAATCCGTGTTTTGCCCACCTGTTTGACTGCAAAGAGAGCCACTTTGGGGTGTCATCTGCTGTACTCTTAGCTTGGACACTCACAAAACAACAGCGGGCTGTGAGCTTTCTTGGATTAAAAAGCCAAACCTGGGCAGTGCCATTGCAGACTGGCCCAGATGGCTTCACAAGCCTTAGGGGAAACACTTCTGGACAGCCGGCCCAGGGAGCGCATGCACCCGTGCACCGGGCGCTGAGCAATGCTGTCAGCACTGCTGGCACCCGTGTGGCCCGGGAGGTGCTTCAGCCTTGGGCAAGTGCCGCCTACTGATCTGCCGCGGGCCTGGGGTAGCGGAGCCACTCCCTCCTCACTTGCCCCGTTTTGGGGTAAAACTCCACAATGCTGGAGAGTCTGGAGGGCACTCACTCTTATGTTGTCATCGGTTTCCGTGGTGGCCTGGAGTTTTCCGTTCACGCTGAAGGTGCAGAAGAGGCCGTTTTCATAGAAGATGACGCAGTGACCCTCCCTGGAGGCGTGGATGAGCTTCGGTTTCAGGCAGTTTTCAGGGCCCTCCAAGGTCCTTAACAGGTCTCCATTCATGGAATGTATGAGGCACGGCCCTTCTGAAAAGAGAGAGACAGAGAGCAGCTCAGTTAGTTGATGCAAGCAGACACGTGTGATCTGAAGGTTGAGAGCACACTGCGCAGGACCACAGTGCCACACCACGGCTGGAGAAGCCTTCGGAACAAAACTAAACTAAACCCGAGTCTCTTAGACGAGCGTTCCTTTGCTAGAGCGCGCCTCTTCAGGTTTGCCGCTCTCACCTTCCACCCGGGAGAGGAGCGAAGCCAAGCAGACACAGTCACACTCACTTTTCCTCAAGAGACAGGAAGTTACCTTACGACATTCCTTACGCCGAGAGGCAATCTATAAACGGGACAGTCTCGGAAAGGAAGAGGACCAATCTCAGATCCTACAGCAGCTTGCTTCAAGGAAGGCTGGGCTGCAAACCATCGTGGGCTGCTGTCAGACGCACCGTGACCTCTCCCTGCGTCTCCCAGAGCCAACGGCCATGGCATGGGGCCTGTGCAGCTTCTGCAGGCCTGACCCTTCTTCCCTTTACGCTGAAGCGGGGGGTGGGTCCCTGGAACTAGATCCCGATCCCCTCAAAGTTAACACAGGGATCCTCCTGCCATTTCTCCTTGGCAACCGGGTGAGCCCACTTCCTCTGCTGCCCCAAAGCAGGCAGCAGCTTCTGCCACTCCCAACAACCCAGGTGATCCCCACGCTGAGAAGCTGGGCACGGACCAGGATACCAGGATACTGCTGAAGGCGCACGTGTGGCACCTACTGAGTACCTGCTCAAGGACAGCAAGGAGCAGGGAACGAAACATTATCTGTGTGATGAGTAAGATCTAAGCGATACCTGAGTAAGACAAGGTGGGTAGCTGGAGACATGCCCTACTACTCTGCCAGCTAAGTCACTTATGGCCACATGGAATCATCGTCTGCTCCCCACAGCACTACTGAAAATGGGCTCTTTGGAAAATAAGGCTCTCGGCCCTCAGGGAGCTTATAAATTTTTAGAGCTCTCCAACGAAAACAGAAACAAGCAGTCTTTGTTTTGCACAATTCTGGAGTGCATGAACTTCAGCTATCTCTCCTGAAATAACATCAGCCACCCACAACACGGTTCACATTTCAGTTATCACAGTAATTGCAGAAGGTACACAGTTCTGTGGCCAGTGCCTCGGTCCAAAAATCACCATGTTAATGACAGATGTGTATCTTGACTGGTGACTAACACGTCCTTCTTTCAAATTATGCTGGGGACTGGTCAGTGTCGGCTACCCAGTCGGGCCCAGACAACAAACAGTGCAGCTGGGCTGGCTCCCTGTCTCCCAGTGATAAAGCCCATGTGATATCTTACAAAAATGCATAATCAAATGTAAAGGGCACCGGACACCAAAGGTGAAACGTCAGGAAAGAAATGACAAGTGATAGAGCTAAAGTGGAACCTGAATGGAATAGACGTAGAGTTACAGAAGGAAGAGTTACACTCATGCTATGTGACACTTTTAACATAAACGGAGAAACTGGTTGTCACAAAAATTACGTCTGAGAAGGAGAGACACCAGCAAAAGCCTGGCATCAAGGGAACCTTGGTGCTTATTTCATGACACTGAAAGCACAAAATGTTGGAAGCTGGCCCAAATGTATTAAGGAGTATAGCAATACCCCCCCCCCACCTGAGGCATAGAAAAGATACTCACTCCCGAAGCGTATCTGTTGAGAAAGTGATAAATGTTATTCAAACTACTCTTGAAAAGTCTTTCACAGAGACATAAACTACTTTAATTCTCAATGTCTTTCAGTGTTTTAAATTATAAAACATCGAGTAGATATGAGTCCCACGATTTTTTTCATGTTCCTTATGTACAGGCTACTTCAGAAAGTTCATGGAAAAATGGAATTAAAGACAAATTTATTTTGATACAAAATTTTTAAAATCCATACATAGCTTTTTCATTATATGTATTTTCATTGATCATTTTTTTTAATTTTTTTTACTTATTTATTTATTTTTTGACAGGCAGAGTAGACAGAGAGAGAGACAGAGAGAAAGGTCTTCCTTTGCCGTTGGTTCACCCTCCAATGGCCGCCGTGGCCAGCGCGCTGCGGCCGGCACACCGCGCTGATCCGATGGCGGGAGCCAGGTGCTTCTCCTGGTCTCCCATGGGGTGCAGGGACCAAGCACTTGGGCCATCCTCCACTGCACTCCCGGGCCACAGCAGAGAGCTGGCCTGGAAGAGGGGCAACCGGGACAGAATCCGGCGCCCCGACCGGGACTAGAACCGGTGTGCCGGCGCCACAGGCGGAGGATTAGCCTAGTGAGCCGTGGCGCCGGCCTGTATTTTCATTGATCATTTTGAAGACCCTTATATGTAAAGATTACATTTTTTTTGGTATAAAACATTTTTAAATTCCATTTTCCATGAACCTTTTGAAGTATCTTCATATTTAAAACTAAGAGAGTTTTTAATGTTTTGACAAAAAAATGTCAAAGGCCACGGAACAATCATAACATTTCACATTGATTGTTAAGATTATCTTGCATGGTTTCAGCTTCCGTGGTCCCTTTCACAGTGCTAGCACTACTGTGCAAAGCGAGTGTGACTATCATAGGATAGCTTTACTGTCCGTGCCCACTTTAGGTTACATACACACCAGAAACTCATGTCAGCTCAGCATGTGTGAAATTATTAGACAGAAGAAGTGGGGGGGGGGGGGCTCCAGTAGTTACAGAATTCTTACTGTCATTATTACTATATCACTGTTTTGACCAACTAAATTTTTAAGTGCAATCCTTTAATATCTAGCATGCCTTGTTTGCTAGGCCTAGTTCAGGACACAGATAAGGTCCCTGAAGTGAGAGAGAAGCCTTAGCGTCATGACACTGCAGTGTGATTTTTCCGTGTGTTCAGAGCAGAGACAGACGAATAACTATTACAGTGGACTAAGCGATGAATTAAAAGCAGCTCTGCTCCTGCTCAGAAGCTGACTGGTTGCATGTGCCCTTGGAATGCTAGCTTAGTATCTTTGGGCTAAATACAGGATGATGCAACTGGCACAAACCCTCGGGAAAGCCAGCGGAAGTCTCGTTCCACTCCGTTCTCAGTGCATTCGGGCCCCTACCTCGTCCTTAGATCTAGACGTTAACACAGCCATTCAGGAGTCCGATGGAACCTGTCCACATCAGAAATGAGAAGAAGAAACAAACACACAAACATGTCCCTGGTCCTTGTGATTTGTGAAGCAGAACTTTCCACAGTGAAGGAGATGTCCTACATCTGTGCTGTCCAGTATGGCAGCCACTGGCTGACCACTGCGTATTAGGCCGGTGCTACCAAAGTGACTTCATTTTACCAAATTTAGATGCCCCGGGTGGCTAGGGGCTGCCATAACCAACAGAAGCTTGAGAGGAAAGGTGTCCAATTCATCTTTGCTAGTACGTTACGAGAAGACGTCAAGAAAGGCACCCCTTTTATGCAGGTGCCACAGGGTTACCTTGAGAGCCGCTCAACACCAGGCCCAGCTCTGCACACACCGCTGCACATGTGACCTCATAGTCGTGGCCTGTCAAGATGGCCCGAGGAGTTGTGGTCTCACCTTCAGGGAAAAAAAAAAAAAAAACAGACAAGAAGAACAAGTCAATTCAAGTTCACGCAGGTTAAATAACCAATGAATTATTCCCAATTCCCATTGTGCCTCAATCTTTAATTTACAGTTTGAGAATGTTGTTAAAAAAAAGATTCTCTTAGTGGGAATAAGAGAGGGAAGAGATGTATAATTTGGCACATGCTCAAGCTGACTTGCCCCAAATGGTAGAGTTAGAAACATACCAGGGGATTCCAATTCAATCCCATCAAGGTGGCATGTACCAATGCCATCTCACTGTTCCAAGTGATCAATTTCAGTTCACAATTGATCATAATGAAAGGACTAAGAGTCAAAGGGAGCACATAAACATGTCTAGTACCTGCTAACACTAACCGATAGAATAAATAAAGGGGAGAGTGATCCAACATGGGAAGTGAGATACTCAGCAGACTCATAGAATGGCAGATGTCCTAAATAGCACTCTGGCCTCAGAATCAGCCCTAAAGGCATTCGGATCTGGCTGAAAAGCCCATGAGAGTATTTCAGGCATGGAAAGCCAAGACACTCTGGCAAAAGATCTCTGCGAGTGAGATCCCAGTGGAAAGAACAGGTCTTCAAAGAAGGAGGTACCTTTCTCTGAAGGGAGGAGAGAACCTCCACTTTGACTATGACCTTGTCTAAACAAGATAAGAGTCGGAGAACTCAGAGGGCTTCCATAGCCTTGGAAACTCATGACTGGAGCATAGGGAGATTACTGATGCCATAGACAGGAGTGTCAATTGGTAAAGTCAACAACAGGAGTCACTGTGCACTTACTCCTCATGTAGGATCTCTGTCCTTAATGTGCTGTGCATTGAGATTTAATGCTAAAACGAGTACTCAAACAATATATTTCACTTTGTGTTTCTATGGGGGTGCAAACTGTTGAAATCCTTACTTAATGCATACTAAACTGATCCTCTGTAAAAATAAAAAAAAAATAACAAAAACGAAATTATCAACTCCCAACTTGACTCTCACTGGGATTAAACATGACAATAAGTCTGGTCTGATTTCATCATCATTTAAAAAAATCATCTATTATTTTTCACTTTATGTTTCTGTGTGGGAGCAAACTGTTGAAATCCTTACTTAATGTATACTAAGCTGATCTTCTGTATATTAAGATAATCGAAAATGAATCTTGATGTGAATGGAAGGGGAGAGGGAGTGGGAAAGGGGAGGGTTGTGGGTGGGAGGGACAGTATGGGGGGGGAAGCCATTGTAATCCATAAATCGTACTTTGGAAATTTATATTCATTAAATAAAAGTTAAAAAAAAAAAAGATCCTCTTTAAGGAGCAGGCATTTGGTCTGGTGATTAAGACACCATTTGGGGCACCACCATCCTATATTGTAGTGCCTAGGTTGGAGTCCTGGCCAAGCTCTCCATGCCAGCTGTCCTGCTAATGTGCACCCTGAGAGATAGCCTGTGATGGCTCAAGTCGTTCAGTGCCTTCCACCTACATGGGAGACCTAGACTGAGTTCTTGTCTCTTGGCTTTGGCCTAGCCCAGTCATGGCTGTTATGGGCATTTAGGAAGTGAACAGTGGATGGGAGATCTCCATGTCTCTCTCTCCTTTCAAATAAATAAACACTTTTAAATTCCTATTTTATGACAAGATCCAAATTATGTACTCATATTTTGAAGTTGAGGACTATACATGGCTAGATTTTAAGTATTTGATGAATGAACAACAATGGTTGAAAATTCAGGGTTACATATGACAAAACGTGCATTCTGAAATGCCTCAGATGATTCCAAACATAAAATCAGCCCTTTGATGAGATGATTTATGGATTGATGATTATAAAAGTAGGAACTTGGGCTTAATTTACATTTCAAAGAAAAGCTTCCTCTTCTCTTTCTCTTCTGTGGTACAGTGAAAACAGTCTCAGCTCATGGCATCTCCAAGCAGCCCTCTCTTAAATACCTTCTATTTTTTTACTGAACTTATGTATTTTCCTGATATGTAAGTCTCAGAGTATATTTTTCAATGGTTCACTTAAAGAACAGAGGAAAACACTATACCCTTACATGCAATTCTACTGGTAGTGAATGGACGTTAGGGCAAGGGGATAGAGTCGGGGGTGCAGATCATGGGAGTGTCCAGAATGTGGGAGATATTTCAAAACATCTCCATAAGAGAAAGAACAAGTCAGCCTCCATCTCTGTCTCAAACTAAAGACAAAACTGTGGTGGGCTGACGGGGAATGTACACCGTGAGCGGCCCTGCATAGGGAACTGAAATAACAATGAGCTTGATCGGTGCCAAGCCACAGGAAAACTGGACTCTAAGACTAAACTAGCCCTCCACCCCTGTAGTCCCTAAGGACAGAGACAAAAAAGCTTTCTAAACAGAACTAGAGAGCAGGATTCTATCAGCACTCCTCGATTTCCCTGATTACAACTGGTTTTATAGTGTGGTTGATAACTGATACTGTGTAATTCAAAAGGGGCCAATGTGCCCAGAAGGTAGGTCACTAGTACCAGCTTTGGAACTCTGTGGAAAAGAGCAACTTGGGCTGGCGCTGTGGCGCAGCGGGTTAACGCCCTGGCCTGAAGGGCTGGCATCCCATATGGGCACCGGTTCTAGTCCCAGCTGCTCCACTTCCGGTCCAGCTCTCTGCTGTGGCCTGGGATAGCAGTGGAGGATGGCCCAAGTCCTTGGCCCCTGTACCTACATGGGAGACCTGGAGGAGGCCCCTGGCTCCTGGCTTCAGATCGACACAGTTCTGGCCTTTGTGGCCAAATGGGGAGTGAACCATCAGAAGGAAGACTCTCTCTCTCTGCCTCTCCTCTCTGTGTAATTCTGACTCTCAAGTGAAAAATAAATAAATATTAAAAAAAAGAGTAACTTGTTACCCCAAACCTGGACACTTGGCTGTGCTTGGAGCCCACCCACGGTAAGGAAGGAACTCTGGTAGCTCAGGGAGAGCCCATTGGAAACTCATTGTCCTTAGAAAGGCAATGTTGCTGTTAAAAAGGCTAATCTAGGGGCCAATGCTGTGAGGGAGAGGATAAAGCCGCTGCCTGCAGTGCCGGCATCCTATATGGGCGCTTGTTTGAGTCCCGGCTTCTCCACTTCCCATCCAGCTCTCTGCTATGGCCTGGGAAAGCAGTAGAAGATGGCCCAAGTCCTTAGGTCCCTGAAGCTGCATGGGAGACCTGGAAGAAGCTCCAGGCTCCTGACTTCGAACTGACCCAGCTCCAGCTACTGTGGCCATTTGGGGAATGAACCGGTGGATGGAAGATCTCTGTCTGTCTGTCTGTCTCTCTCTCTCTCTGTAATTCTGCTTTTCAAATAAATAAATCTTTTTCTTTTTTCTTTTTTTAAAGACTAATCTAGCCTCCACAGCAGGGTTCTTTTACAATAGGCCAATGGGTTCTCTGAAATTTTGTGCAAAATATATGTAAATGCTTGTTTTTCTGAGTGGCAGGGGAGAAAAACAGGTTTCACTGAATGCACGGAGATCCAGGATCAAGAAGGCGAGAAGCTGCCACCATGAAGGCAGCAGTGTGCTTTCTGTGCCTCCAGTCCCACCTTTCCAGGTCTGGCACTGCAGCGCGTAGTTGCAGTGCTGTGTCCCCACGAGGCTCGGTGACTACAGGTACTTAAGGAGAAGACTTGGTCAAAGGGGCCTCGTATCAAACTGTGCCCCAAATGGGCTGGGCTGCAGGCAGCTAGAAGGGGGAACCATCCTACATACTACATGAAATAAAGATAAGGAAATACATGGAACAACTGGTTTGGTTTTATTTGATGCCACATTTAAAATTTGTTTGGAGAGGCAAACCCACCTTAATTAGAAAGTTTTCTTGACATTTCCCAAACCAGAAAGAATTTGTCACAGGAACATTTTTTTTTCTTAAAAAGTCCACAAATTTGGGAGATTTTAAAAGAAGCAAATCAAGTGAGCCAATATGAACTGCTTAACTTTTTGTTAAAGATAATTCTTGCCATCAAATTTAGAAATAAACATGTTATACTCTAAAAAGTAAGCAATACTCAAGTCCTGATTCAGGATTTCCCCCTTTCCCAAGAAGGTCTACTACATTCCACAGAAATACCACACAATGTTATTTTTGAAATTACTGCCTTCTTATACCTTTCTTTAGGCAACTTCTAAAAAATCAACAATTAAAATCATTAAGATCAAAGAATACATTTTTGGTGTGACTGTTCCTTTTTTTGTTTTGTTTTCCTAAATTACCGTTTTTACAGGGAGTGAGATTTCACTTCAAATTGGATGGTCTTGGAATTCCTCTGCTAAGTGAGGGGTTGAAGGGAAGCTGACAGCGAATGAAAGCAATTTATGCGTAAGCCAAGGTAAACAAAAGGCAGGTGGGTACTGGCGGACCCAGTGGGCATCAACGTGACGCATGTCAGTCTGACTTCTTCCCTAGATCTAAGACCGTTTTCTCAGGAGCATGGTAGAGGAAGGGAGACTGCCGTCCAGTACATTTCTTTCCTGAGCATCGAAGTTGAAATGTTGAGAGCTTTCCATGGCTATGGAGTTTTAGGAGGCCTATGATGAACCCCAGAAAAGCGGGCTTCAAAAAGGTCATGCAAATGTGTATTACGAAGAAACTATGTGTGGATTTCAAAATGTCTTTGCACCATAGTAAACTTTTCTTTTAATTCCACTTTTCCAAGAACTTTCTGAAGCATCCTCACAGATAAGCATTGTTTCATGTAAACTTGTAACTAAGGGTTTTCTAAGTAAATTTTCTTACAAAATTTAGTATCCAAGAATCCAAACTCTATCAATGGTTTTTCACTCCAGAAATCAGAAGATGCATGCGTGTAACAGGGTAATTTTGAAACTGAAAAGGGTTTTTCTTTTCCAAGGGCCTGATCTCTAAATAAGGAACTGTTCCATGCAAGGACTTCAAGGTTTGGCAAAATGTTTCCTAATCCAGGAAGCAGGTTAGACAGTTCAGGAAATACAGAAAAGAACGAGAGGGAG